CGGGCAGCCCCGCCGCGCCCGGGGGCACGCTGCCCACGTTACTCACGTTGCCCATGTTGCCCATGTTCACTACCACTCCGCTTCCCATGTTTCCCACATTTCCTGTGTTGCTCATGTTTCCAATTAATCCGACGTTTCCCATGTTTCCCATGTTCCCCATGCCGCTCACGTTTCCCATGTTGTTAACATTCCCCATGGTACTAACGTTTCCGATAGTGCTCACGTTTCCCATGTTGCTAACATTCACCATGTTGCTGGAGTTTCCCATGTTTCCTATATTGGGTACGTTTGCCATGTTGCCCACGTTAGACATTGTGCCCACGTTTGTGACATTGCCCACTCCAGTTACGCTATTAACGGCGCCCACTGCGGATACTGTGCCCACGCCCGCTACCACGGTATGTGTCGCCGGGATCGGTGGGGGGATCGGCGCTGGATGCTGGGAAGTGAAATAAATACATTTAAGAAACATATATGCTAAACATAGGGACCAGTATTTTTTCACGGGTAACTTCTTTGAAAGGTACTATGATTGTTGTCAAGTTAAGTACGCCAGCTCATGTCCTTGTATTGACATGTTATAAAACATTTTATAGAATTATAATAAGTTTCATCTTATGTTTTAAAATAAACTAAACAGTGTTACAAAATAAAATATAAACCTTGAAATATTATTTAATTTCACTTATTGGCAATTAATTGAAATTCAATTAATTACATTAACATGTGATTTTAAGGATCCATTAAATGTTTCAAATGAAGCCTCAACTGTGACTTCTATATTTTTTGAACATCTCTAGATTACAAGTATGCAATTTTATAAAAAAAAAAAAACTAGCTTTCGCCCACGACGCCGTCCGCGTGGAATTTAAGAAAAAAACCCATAGGTGAATAGCCTATGTATTCTTCTTCCAGATTATGTCTGTGTATATAAAATTTTATCAAGATTCGTTCAGCCGTTTAGGTCACAATTCATCTAAACTTTCGCTATTATAATTTTATATAGAGGATTGGATTACCAAAAAAAATCTTAATTTAATCCGTATGATACAGTAATACTCACATTGACAGGTATAGGTGGCGGCAGCGAGTGCGGCTGGTGCGCGGGGTGTGCGGGGAGCGCGGGCAGCGCGGGGAGCGGCTGGTGCGACGCGTGCGGCACGTGCTGCGGCATGGCGGCGTGCGACGCGTGCGCGTGCGCGTGCGGGTGCGGCGGCGCCACTATACCCCGCACGAAGTACTGCGGCATCGCGTACGGCGGCGCTGGGTGTGGGGGCGGAGCGCCTCCGTACTAAAATGGATTACATTTTAAAAGTTAAACATTTTAGAGAGAATTTAAAGAACATTAAAATATTATGGAAATAACTATAATTTGTCTAAATAAGATACATTAGTTTGATAAATGACGCATATGAAGTATCGAATTAAATTGGTATGGAGGCAAATGCCGTACATAATAGACAAGTGTTGTAGTGACGAAACAAACACGCCTAGCGAACAATTATGAACTATCGACATTCGGTTTAAATAAAATTTATCGAACTTAACTTTGATTATTATTTTATTATTAACGAATTTAGAGGACAATTCTATTAATAAATATTTATTTACTCTCATTACTTGTAATGGTTCTGAAGGTCATTATTAATTTGAGAAAACAGTGTTTTTTTTTAATTCATAAGTTATAATTATGAATCTATCAATTCCAACTTCTATAAGAATAAAAATCGATAATCGAAAAGAGTCATGTCTGGTTTTACACAACCCATCTCTACTAAATTGTCAAAGTAATCAATCTTATTTAGACAATCTATAATAAAGTTAATATTTTTCAAAGTAGTGGTTACCTGCAGCTGGTAGATGTGCGGCGGGTAGGGGTGGTAGGTGAAGGGGTAGGGCAGGGCGTAGGACACGGGCATGGGCAGCGGCGGCGGCGCGCGGTACTGCGGCTCCTCTGCCGCCTCCTCCTCGGTGCCCTGCCGCAGGTACAGCTCGTGCCAGTAGCGCGCCACCGTGTACAGCACCTCGGGGTACACGCCTCCGCCTGTACAAAATACAATTATCTATACTATTACAATAAAGCGCAAACACACACTTCTTTGTTGCCTAAGATGTCAGCAAATACAGCATATTTTTTTTATAAAAAGCCCTACACTTATGTAACGCTTTAGGCTATATTTTGTCACGCCATTAAACTTAGATGATAAATATTTTGTATAAAAACCCTAATATGGGAAAGAAGATCATAAGTTGTTGCCAACATCAAGGAACCAGGATTGCCATAGTTATGTAATTGGTATTGACATTCGCTATTGAGAATTTGTTAAATGTAAACAGTAAAATAAAATTTTTGCAGTTGCATGCGGATAAAACCGCACAAGAACAGCTAGTTAATTATATTCTTCATCTAAGACGTGTGAAAGGTTTCTTCCTTCTATCTAAAGTCTGAAAGTATGAAATAAGTCTCTTGCTAAAAGTATTTTGTGTACCTTTGGCTGCGGCCTCCACAGTGAGGCAGGCGCGCTCCAGCATGGCGTCGCTCTGCTCCTTGCACTGCAGCACGGCGCGCTGGATCTCGTTGTAGTTGAGCGCGTGCGCGTGCGGCAACACCGACAGCGCGAGCTCCGCCGCCGCGCGCACGATATGCACGTCGCGACCAGACGACGCCTGCTTATCAACGTATTATTCATCATCATCATCATCACCAGCTNACTAGGCGTCCCCACTGAGGGGCTCGGAGCCTATTCTAAGTTAGGGTGACTAGGACATAGTCAACCACGCTGGCCCAATGCGGGTTGGTTGACTTCACACATATCTTTGAATTTCTTCGCCGATATGTGCAGGTTGCATCACGATGTTTTCCTTCACCCTTAGGACGTCGGGTAAATTATGTACATATGAAATTTCGATAAATCGGAAAGTATTATTATTAAGATATAAGATCATCATTAACATATTATTAACAACATTAATATCTACACTGAAATTTAAAAAAAAGTCTCAAATAAAGGAAAATTGATACCTTATCAGCAATACCAGCAGCTTCCGGCGGTGTCAAGTGTCCCTCCCAGGCGTCGATTAAAAATAAAATCGCGGGTGCACCGATGTCCATGGCTTGACCTGAACAAGAACAACGTCTTAAACATCCGACTATGAAGTAACGAAAAGTACAATTTTCGTTACCTACCTGTGATCCAGCTAACATGCGAGGAGTACGTACGACTCAACCAATTCGCACTAACGCAGTTGTGCAATCCTAGTGCATAGAGACCCAATTGGAACGCAGCCATGTGTAAACCTCTGTAAACGATTGGAAGAACGTTACGAGCACTTAGAACAGCGGCTGGCAGCAGTTTGGTGCAGCAGTAGGCGGTGTTACCTGTGCGGGCCCTGCGGCTCCTCGCGCGCGCACGTGGTCTGTGTGAACAGACTGGTGCTGGAGCTGCCGCCTGCTTTGAACAGCACGGACTTAGCGAGCTCGAACATGAAGTGCGCCGACGCCTCCGACGGCTGGTTCGGTACGGACGGGTACACGCGTTTACCTTTATATCTGGAGGAAGTGATGTGATCACTTATATGCATGTAACAGACGAGAAAAACACAATGCAGCATCAAGTAATACAAACATTGAATATATCCTGAATATCGTTCAGACCTTAACAGAAGAGGAATCAAAAGTACACAATTATAAATAGGTGGAAAGTTAATCGTTCCATTACTATGGGTCCAATCATGGTAATGGTAAGTCTGTCAGTGCTTGGATGTAGTGTTATTGTAGTGGACTGTATGATAAAATAAAAA